TTACTGGCCTCCAACTAGACTCAGCGCCGCTGATGACAACCCTCTGAGTTCTGCCATTCAGCCAGTTCTCAATCCATCTCACCGACCACTCATCCAGCCCACACTTCCTGAGCTTCCCTAGGAGGATGTTTTATGGGAGACCGTGTCGAAAGCCTTGCTGAAGTCAAGGTAGACAGCATCCACGGCTCTCCCCTCATCTACCCAGCCAATCATGCCATCGTAGAAAGCTATCAGATTGGTCAGGCATGATTTCCCCTTAGTGAATCCATGCTGATTACTCCTGATAACCTTCTTTTCCTCCACTTGTTTGATGATGACCTCCAGGATAAGCTGCTCCATCACCTTTCCCGGGATGGAGGTGAGGCTGACCGGCCTGTAGTTCCCTGGGTCCTCCTTCTTGCCCTTTTTGAAGATTGGAGTGTCCTCTTTTGTTTTCCGAGCATCCTCAGCAGGGGCTGCTTGTGACACCACCACACATGGGGCAGTCCTGGGAAGCAGAGGGAGGGATGAAGCAGCAAAGGCAGGAGTTGTGTCCCCACTGGGATGGGACTAATGACACCTCCCAACCCTCTCGCTCCCCTGGCAGGGTTGGAATACAGCGACGTGCTGCCCGACTCCTTCCCCTCGGCCCCGGCGGAGACTCTGCCTCACTTTCTGCTGGAGCCGCAGGATGCCTACATCGTGAAGAACAAGCCGGTGGAGCTCGTCTGCCGTGCCAATCCTGCCACTCAGATCTACTTCAAGTGCAACGGGGAGTGGGTCAACCAGAACGACCACGTCACCAAGGAGAACCTGGATGAGGTCACCGGTGAGCAAACACACCCTACCATCCCCCCTGCTTGCCTTTCCCCTCTCTTCTTTCCAGGCTCTTCTGCCCTTTTCTCTCTTGTCACTTGGTCTAGCCAGAGGCTGGAGAATACCTCCTCCTCCTGTCTTTATAGCCGATGTCTACATCTCTCACCCTAAATTGCATTGCATTTGTGCTGTACCACACAGTCCCCCAGGCTAACTTGCTGTCCTCTGTCACCAAAGACTCTTTCTCAATCTTTGCTCCTTTCTAGTTTTTTTGTCTTCCATTGCACATCCACCCTGGAGGTGATTCTCCTCCAGGTAGACCAACAGGTCTCTCTGACTCATTTTTACCATTCCCAGGTGACTGCAATCTCATGAGGTTGATTTTGTGTGTTTTCCACCTCCTCAGTCCATGCACAGCTTGCCTCTCTTTCCATGTCACTGGTGAATTTTACTAGAAGAGCTGCCGCTTTCCAGACCGTTGATGAAAGCATGATGATGGTATGGGTCACCATAACTCCAGAGAAGCTTGGGGAAGTCAGCCTGCATGCTTATCCTTTTGTAGGATTAGGAGTCGTTAAATGGGATTTGAAAGGCAGCACGTTTAAAACTGATAAAAAAAGGAAACGCTTTCCTACAAAACGTGTGATCAACACGTGGGTGTCATTGCCATGAGGAGTGGCAAAGGCTGGCAGCTTACTGAGGTTCGTAAAGGGATTAGATATTTAATGGGTAATGAGAACATTTGCAGGTGGGATTTGAAATGCCTTTTAATGGCAGATGAGCTCTTCCCTGGCTCAGAGGACAAGTCAGCCACTGGCTGCCTGAAGTGGGGGGGGGGAGCGAGAAGGTGGTTTAGGCATTTTAGGGGGTGTCTTATTCCATGGGATTGGGTTCCGCAGTGCTGCTTGCCCCGTGCTTTGAAATGTTCCGGCAGGAGAACATGGTGTGGGAGTTGGATATATAATGTGATCAAGCAGACTTGCTAAAACTGGGACACTTTAGCTTGGCTCCCATCTTGTCTGCATCAATTTTGGTACCTGTGGCCTGATCAGGAAGGGAGGAAAACATCATGTTTCCCCATGTAAGATCTGATCTCTGCAGATCCCTGAGACTGCGACATCCCTCATCTCCAGAGGGCTTTAAACCGAGGTGGCTCTTTGAACTGCTGTGGTGTTGGCCCCAGAAGGCAGGCTGGGCTTAGAGGACAGAGGCTTTGTCAGCCTGGAGGAGCACAAGTACTAGTACAGAATCTCCTCTCGTCCCTTTTTTCTCCAGCCTTGCCCTTCCCCAGCATCTCCTTGGCTCTTCATCCAGTGCTAGCCGTGAGCCGGTCCTAGCTGGGTGCATCTCTGAACCTGCCCTGCAAAGGGAAGATCGCTTCTTTTCTCTGCAGCTTTTTGAGCCTCCTAAAGTTGCTTAATCTGATCCTGAGGTGTTTTCTTCCAGAGGATCTCTTTCTGAAGGATGGCCAAGAATGCGTGGGCAGGCTGTCCATTTGCTTCTCCGGAGGCTGTCGGGAGCACCGGCAGGCCCATTTCTCTCTTTCAGGGTGTGTCACCACCTCCCAGCTCTTGCGGAGGCCGGATTTGAAACCCTCACCTCTCTAGGTCAGTCAGTGACGGTTAGTGACCAAGCAGCCTTCGCCCAGGGGTTATTGTTTTATTTATAATGTGTGACTGCGCTGGGTCGAGCCAAAGGTTCATGCGCCCTGCGTGCAGCAGTGGCGGATGCTTAGGGGAAGAGCACTGAACCAGGACAAGGAGGGAGCGATGGACCCTGCTCTGTTACCCTCCCAGCTTTCTGCAGTCTGTGATTAGGGACTCCCTGGTCCAGCAGCGATATGTTAGCAGTGTGATCCAGCCCCAGATGGATTCGCTCCCCCCCCGTTAATTTATCTAAATGCTGTTAGGACTCATTTCTCCTCCAGATCATCCCAGTATCCTGTAGCAGGGAGCTTCATGGCTTGGTGGTGTGCAGTGTGGAAAAGGCACTATATTTCTGGCCCCACTGCTTGATTCACCTCGTGGGTGAATATCCTTTACGGAATAACCCACCTCATGCAACTCTTGAGCAAAACGGGCTGGAGAAAACATAGCGGAAAGTGAACAGAAAGTCTGTGCAGCACGAGCTTATCATGTTTTAGGGGGCACTCATCTGCTCTGGGCCAGCATCTCCCTCTCAGATCCCAGTCTGCAGATGCAAAACGTGTTTGGGGAGGAAGTAGTGCACACCTCCTTCCCCCGGGCTTCAGAGATGGTATTGCTGCTATCAGTGAGCAAACCTGACTGTACCTTCAGTATGGAGGTGATACCATGCATGCAAAAGTCCACCAGCATGGGCATATCTGCCCAGGAAAAAGGGAGCTGGAACCAAAATGGTTTGCTGTGCTAAAAAATCTGCATTTGCAGCGCCTGCCGTTCATAGGGAAAGCTGCTGCAAAGGGCAGGGGGGAGAGCCAGCCACAAAGCGAAGGGCTAACGCACCCAGACGTTCATGGCTTTTGGAGTATCCTCAGTTTAAAGCTTGGAAGAAGGGACCTTTTAAAAAATAAAAAAACAAACAACTTTTAAGATGACGTGTCTTGAATGAGCCAGGCTCAGTAATACTCTGACTGCATCTGATCCAAAACATTTCATGCGGAAGAAAGCAAAAATAGGCCAAGTGAGAGAGGATAATTCAGCCAGACGAGAAAGGACGGTCAGTAAGAGCGGCTGTGTTTGGATGCCTGTAAGCTCTTCAAATAGTCATTCCTGTGAGCCGTAAGCTCAGCCTACGGGTTTGGGTAGGCTTTGCTTTAAGAGGTTACGGAGAGAGCAGGGGATTTGCAGGATGCTCCCCACCTTCCCAGGGTTGCTCAACCCACCCCACCAGTGTTTTCCAGAGAGACGAGATGTTTTTGAGCCATCTCCATCCCAGGTCCTCCTGAAAGCCCAAATTCTTCCAAAAGTGCTTGGTCCAAATGCCTTTCTGCCCCCTCCCCAGTAGTGGCAAGATAAATTGTATTTCCTTGGTGTGCGTCTGTCAGCTATTCTGCAGGAAGGTGACAGAGAGATGGTAATTGCTCCTCACAGCACTGGGAGCAAGCTAACAAAATTACAGCTGGGGAACACGCGGCGCTCTGTCACCATGAACTTGAGGCCTTTTTATAAATAGAAGCTGCAAAAAAAGGGCAGGTATTGCTGAAAATAAGGAAAAGTAAGCCCTGAGTCCCTCTTGCCTTCAGCAGTGGCCATGCCATGAGGGGCTGATGCTTCACGCAAGCCTCAGCGTCCTGCAGTCCAGGGGACCATGTCCTGTGTGTGATGGTGCCACCTTTGTCATCGCACCCCCTGCCATGGCCAGGGTGTTCTGGCAGGCTTCATGGAGGTGTTAGGGAGTTGACAGAGGCATGTAACCCTTTTTGGGGTCATCAGGCATGAAACGCCATCATCCTTGGATGATTTCCTTAAGATCTTGTATTTGTCTTGTTATATTTGCATTTAAACAGCAGCTGACAGAGATGGTTTCTCCCGGCAGCAAAGCCTCAGAGGCATCCTTCAAACCCTGTGGGTGGGAAGGGGTATAGGCAGGGATGTGGATGTTGGTGCTGAGGGAGAGGGCTGGTGGAGGAGGGTGATGCCTCTTGAAATTGTAAAGTGGTCTTGGTCCTGCCCGGCTGGACCGGGGAAAAAGAAAAGACTCCTCCATGAACCATTGCCCTGGCTTCAGCTCCGAGTCACCCTCCAGATGAAACTTTGTGATTTGCAGAGATGCCAGACTTGGATGCCTCTGAGATGCCTCCAACCCCCTGCCTCTGCCCTCGAGCTTTGTGCATCCACCAGCCTTCTCAGATGCTGCCTCAGTTTCCCTCCTCCCAGATGCTCCTCCTGAGCTGATGCTGTCCCTCTCTCCTCTTCCAGGGATGCTGGTGCGGGAGGTGAAGATCGAGGTCTCCCGGCAGCAGGTGGAGGAGCTCTTCGGCTTAGAAGATTACTGGTGCCAGTGCGTGGCCTGGAGCTCTGCGGGCACCACGAAGAGCCGCCGGGCGTACGTCCGCATAGCATGTAAGTGCTCAGTACACGTAGTGCTTGCTCAGATGTGACCCCTCCAGCAGTCCTCCCTGCCTCTCTGAGAGAGCTGCGTGCACCTACCTGCACTGCTTCGGCTCACGGTCTAATTTAGTTTAAATGAATCCTTCTCCCATCTTCTTTTCCACTTTGGGGGCCCCAAAGGGTTTCCAGAGGGTACAACCCACCAATTTAGAAATTGGTTGCAAAGCCTGAGGTGTGTGACCCTGGATCCCAGGCTGAACACGCAGTGGTGTCATGCCAGGCAAGCGCTGCTGCTGGCAGCAACACCAGCTGAAATAGCGGCCAGGCTGTTCATTCCCAGATTCCCAGGACCCCCAAGACTGAGTGGGTGCAGCTGTGTGGGGTTGGCCATCTCCAAAAGTTGGCTCCCTGCTGAAAGCAGTGCTCTTTTTGATCAGTGGGAGATGACCCATCTTGCTGGATGGCCTTGGTCTTTAGCTCCCTATCCCAGGTCTAGCTTTGCTTCTGAGCAGGCATCATCCCAAGCTGCCTGGGCGAGAGGCCGTGGCACTAGCTGGGTTAATACCGCATTGCCCATCAGCGTGCTCAGCTCTTCCCGGTGCTTTATTATTGTTAATAACCCAACAGTTAGCACCTTGCATGCTTTGCCTGAATCAGCGACTCCGTGTCCCTGGAGTCCCTGCTGTCATATGTCACTTCTCTAAGCTGCTGTTTGTGGGTGTCAGCCTGATTAAGGGCGAGTTAATCGGGCTGTTACCCAGCTGAATTTGCTCTCTTAGCAAATGAGATGGCAAAGCTGTAGAACAGCCAGGCTTCCCCAGTTGTAAACAGGTTTTGCTATTAGAGGGCTAATAATCCAGCACGTTATGCAAAACGGAGGTGGCTGGTGAATCAGCTACGCTGCTGAAGGATTTAGTCTGAACTGGGAAAAATGTTACCAGGCACAGGGCTGGCTCCTGAGGGAGCCCCCCTGTCCGGCCCCAGCCTAGGGCTTGGTGTTTCTCGCAGCGAGCAGATGAGATGAACCGAGGGTTCGGCAGAGGATTGCAGCACCATCTAGTGATGATGCTCCTGCTCCTTTCAAGGCTCTGGAGCGGGACCCTGCCATGTCCTCCACGTCCTTGGGGGCTCTGCTGGGCTTTCCCCTCTCCCCCTTCCACAAAGCACTGGCAAGCCCCTTGCTGAGCAAGCCTGGCTTTTTAGCAGTGACTGTTTCCTGTTTTCGTGCTGGAGTGCGGTGGTTGAGTTTCCAGGAGGTCTGAGAACATGGCTCAGCCAGGACCAACTGGGGCAGAGGTGAGAAACAAGCCCTCGTAGCCCTGAAATTCAGGGATTCGCTTCGGTACGGACGTGGGAGCCGAGCTGTTGTGAAAACCTTGTTTTTTCTCCCTTCAGTGAAGAAGGGTCCTGGAGCAGACTCCAGAGGGGGGAAAGAAATAGTAGAGTTGAAGAAACTGGTTAAGCTGAGGTTTAGCCCCAAAAAGAAAAGACAGGAGGGCAAACGCACGAAGGAGGAAAGGCATTGTGCTTGAGCACCATGTGCTATCCTGAATCCACCCAGGATTGTTCCTTTGGCCCCTTCTTCCCGGGACATGTTTGGCTCCAGCTGTGCTATGCCAGAGCGATTTCCCTACTCGTGGGCTCCTGGTGCCAAGGCGATGCTCTCCCCTCACTAAGGGTTTGCAGGTTTCCCTGTTTCTGCAGCGGGCTGGTAACCCCCGGGTTTTCCTTTTCCTCCCAGACCTACGAAAGAACTTTGACCAGGAGCCGCTGGGCAAGGAGGTCCCACTGGAGCATGAGGTCCTGCTGCAGTGCCGCCCGCCCGAGGGGGTGCCACAGGCGGGGGTGAGCAGCTCGGCAGCCAACAAAAGAGGGGCATCCACTCCCGGTGGTCTGCAGCCACAGCTGGGGAGAGACGGGACATGTCCTTGTAGATGGCTTGCGGCCATGATGGATGGCCTCATGCCGAGACCGTCAGCTTTCATTATTCAGCAGAATTGTTTATTCCGGGCAGTGGATCTGTTGTTCTGACATCTCATAACACACGTAATCTCAGCGCGTGCTCAGCCCACCTCTGCTGCTCTTCCTGATGTCCCGTTGACCTGTTAAAGGGAAGATCTAACAAGGAGGCACCCAATGACTTGTCTAAAGGGGAGCAGTCACAATCAAGAGCCAAGGGCTGGGAAAGTCATTTCCCTAGCACGGTAGTGGTGCTTTCCTTGTCCGCAGCTCTGTCAGCCCCCAGGAGCTGTGTGTTGGTGGTAGCTGCAGTGTCCCATCCTTGGCCAAAACAGCAGTAACGTGCCCCGGGCAGGCCTGGTTTGGCCCAGCTTTCAAATAGGAATAAAAACAGTCAGAGGCAAGGTTAGCCAGCCAGTGGTTATGGTGCTGAGGACATTGATGGTCTCAGTGATGAAGATGAGGAGGAGGGCTTTGGGGCAGGTCGTAGGCTAGTCTGGGGGGGTTTGCTCTCCATCAGGGCTGGTGAATTCAGCCCTTCCGACCTGGTGTTTGTCCTTGCTTGTGCCCGCACCCATGCTCGGTGATGGTGTCGACTCCTGCCTTTCCCAAACAGCCTAGTTAAGCAGTTGTGTCCTAGCTAGCTTTGGGAGTCCTCAGAGACTCTCATGGTGGGGAGCATGTGGGATGGGCATTTCCACCAAAATCTGTGACATGCTCAGTTCTTGTTCAGCTTAATCACCATCATTACCCCATCCCTTCCTTTTCATTGCCAGGTGGAGTGGCTGAGGAATGAGGATGTCATCGATCCCACGCAGGACACCAACTTCCTTATCACCATCGATCACAACCTCATCATCAAGCAGGCCCGGCTCTTGGACACGGCTAATTACACTTGCATGGCCAAGAACATTGTGGCCAAGCGCCGGAGCACCACGGCTGCCGTCATTGTCTATGGTACCAGTCCTTGCTCATGGGGAGGAGGCCTTTGCTCCCAGCCATGTCTCCAAGCGAAGGGGAAATATGGGCACTTTCTGGGAGTGGTAGAAGTGAGCCCCAGCAGGGCAGTGCAGAACTTCTTCCCTCTGAGGGTGACAGAGCACTGGAACAGGCTGCCCAGAGAGGTTGTGGATTCTCCTTCTCTGGAGATATTCAAGACCCACCTAGACGCGGTCCTGTGCATCCTGCTGTAGGTGACCCTGCTTCGGCAGGGGGGTTGGACTAGATGACCCACAGAGGTCCCTGCCAACCCCTAATATTCTGTGATTCTGTGATTAAATTAAGTAATAGCCAGTGTCTGAAAAACAGGTAATCACAGCTTACACAGGTTGTTAGGAGAGGTTCTTAGGTGTAGGTATTTGCAAGCCTTCTAGGTTGAGTATGAAGGTGAGTGGAGGTTGGACCCAGCCAGATTGCTTTGACTCTGAAAGCAGCCGAAAAGCTGAATTTGGCTGAACTTTGCTATAAAGCCAAAGATCTGCTGTGTCCAGACGCAAAAATATTTGCAGAGTGGAAAAAGGACCAAAATAGGCTTGAGCATCTTGTGCATGGGGTGCGTGACATGAGAAGGAGTATTATGATTTGGTTTTTGTGAGGGTGAGCTGTTCCGGACTGTTGCAGAAGAACTAAGGACAGAGGACCCAGTGAACCTAGGCTTAGCTCCAGTCCCTGCTCTGTCACCCGTCACCCACAGCAGCTGAAAAGAAAACCTCAAAGTCTTTGAGTTTCTTCTGATGTGTTAACGTTCTCCATCTCCTCTTGCAGTGAACGGTGGCTGGTCCACCTGGTCTGAGTGGTCTCCTTGCAACAACCGCTGTGGCCGAGGCTGGCAGAAGCGCACCCGGACGTGCACCAACCCCGCGCCGCTGAATGGTGGCTCCTTCTGCGATGGGCAGCCTTTCCAGAAAATCACCTGCACCACCCTCTGCCCAGGTAAGGCGGGTTCAGAAACCTTGCCCACTCTGCCCGTCCCCTAGGTTGCATGGTCCAACCATTCTCCTGGTGCTCCCCAAGGAGACAGGGGCTCAGGAGACCAGTCTGAAGCATCTTTCAGTCTGACGAGACCTGAAAGAACTGGAGATGCCTGTAGAGACACAACAGGGCTGGGTTTGCTGGGATAAAGTTCCCTGAAGGTTTGCAGAAGCCCCGAGATGGGCACAGGCACCATGCTGCTGCTGGAGACATCCGGCACTGGGGCACGCGCCCCGAGGCCGTGCTGAAGGGTGTACCGACGTGCCTGTGTTTGGTGGCCCACAGTGGACGGCGCGTGGACAGAGTGGAGCAAGTGGTCCGCGTGCAGCACCGAGTGCACGCACTGGCGCCA